GTGGGAAGGAGCCTGCCCGTCCAGATGGCCAACAGAGATAAAGAAGAGGTGGAGGTCTGTCTCTGTGTGCGCTGAAGACGCTGCCAGGCAAACTTTTCATGTTTAACTGGCAGGCATAGAAACTGAGAGAGAAGGAAATGGAGGGGGAAAAAGAGAAGTTGGGTTCAAAAAAAAAAATTCAGAGAACAAAAGGCAGTAAAATAAAGAGAGGAACAAAAGGAGTCTTGGAGAGAAGCGGGAAAAGGAATGTTGGCACAAAAGACAGAAAGTGAGATCAAGAACCAGAGCGAGAGAGCAAGAATGGAATGTGCTGATGCAGTGTTTCTTGTCCGAACTCCCCAAATTACTAATCAGCTACGATTTAACAGGAACAGAAGCCCGTTGGCAAGTCCTGGTCAGGCCCGGTCCTCCCTGCCCCCGGTGTCACCCCCCCCCATCGACCCAGCAAAAGGCTCTGCTCCGGGACCGAATAGGAGGGCCTGTCTGCGATGTCCTGGCCGAGCCGTATCTGGCAACCTGCCACTGGGCTTTTGCTTGTTCAGGAGTTTTGATTAAATCCTTTATTGTGCTCCACTCACGCAAAGAGCCAAGGCGAAGCAGCGAGCGGCACAGAATGGAGTACAGGGGAGGAGAGAAAGCTCGACAGGAGAAAAGAAAAGGGAGTGGACGAAGGGAAACTTCCTCCCACTCTCTCCTGTAATCTTTCACTTTAGACTCAAACCGCGTTTGATTTAGTATACAGACGTTTGCAAAGTATATACGCATAAAAAACAAGTTTTGTGACTTTTTTTTGTTTGTTAATGCAATTTCTCATCCAATGGTAAGACAGATTTGCTTAATTGACAAACTGAAGTACCTCACAACTGATTACACAACCTTACATTTTTGCTCTGCAGCAGGCACAAATCACCACAATTCCTTTGATTGTTGTTTGTGGTCCTTTCACACATTTTTGAGGTCACAAAATTTGTGAAACCCAAACCTTTCTGCCCAACAGACCATTAAAAACCAAAATATCATCACTGTTGGGCGGAAATTCCGTGTGTCCAAATAGGGTCAATTTGATATTTTTCACAAATTACTTTTGGGCCGTCCCTGGATATTCTGTTACTTGTACGCATTATTAACCAATTTAAAAGATTGAAAATAGCTTGAGAACAAAGCTATTAGCTCGCTGACATTTGAATTGTCTGAGAAAATTCATAAAAATACACTTTTTCCTCACAAAATGGGAGCCGTGCAGCAATATTTTGCCACAAAATTGAAATTCTGGAAGGTTCTTAGACAATAACGAGTGCAAATAGGTTAGTTAGGGGTGGGCAGTTACTGAAAAAAAGAATAATCCTGATTATTTTGATTGGTATTGAACGTCAGCCAGCAAGGTGCACATTTATTTCCGCCTGTTACACTGCTTAGTCAGCTCATCATTTTATTTCATGAATCATTTGTGGTTCTGACTCAATTGAAAAAGAATTTTGCGAGGTGATGTATCCACAGTTGTTTGTTTTTGGGAATATTCGAGGTTTTTTGTCTTGTCAGGAGGTCAGTGTAAGCCTTTGACAGATGATCTGAATGGCTCGTGCTTGCCACATTGCACATTGGATTAGTAGTTGAACATGATTTTAGAGTGTAACGATACATGATTGCAATGCCAGCCATGATGTTTTTTGATCTCCTGAATACCGTATTTTCCGGACTATCAGTCGCAGTTTTTTTCATAGTTTGGCCGGGGTGGGGCGATTTATACTCTGGAGGGACTTATTTGTTAAATTATGAACACATTCTTACATCATTTCACATTAAACCGCAAGAGCGTGCTATAGGCGTGTGCGTGCGTGTGTGTGTGCGTGTGTGTGTGTGTGTGTGTGTGTGTGTGTGCGTGTGCGTGTGCGTGCGTGCGTGTGTATGTATTTGAATAACTCTTAATGTTACATGAACATACAATGCATGTTGTCAGTTCGTTGTTTATGCGTCGTGTAACGTTAGCATATCGTACACTCATTGCACTTGTTGTTCTTGATTTCATTTTTATTTTAAATTGCCTTTCCAGCCATCTCATTACCTCTGCGTCCCGCGTCCTAGACGCATAATTTTCCCGCGGGACGCACAGTTCCAAATAACATGCGTTTTTGGGACGCAAGGAAATTTCTCAGTTAAAACAACAACAACAACAAAAAACTACGGTAGGCCTGAGGATTTCACGGTAACGATCGTTACCGGTAGCGTGTCGTTTCCGTGGCGTCATTTTGACGGTACCGAAAAATGGTTTCCCATAAAAGTCACTGCACACGAGTTGACTGTACGCGATCGAATCTCTCCTGCGTGATCAACACGATTTCACTGTGCCTGTATGCGTGTTTGTGGTGTGGTGTGTGAGTGTGTTTCTTCGAATTTACTTTCGTTTTGTTTTGTTTTCAGTGTTGGCGGGGCGGAACAGATAACGTTATGTGCCCATGCAGGTTGCTATTTTAGTCCGCAAACTGAGGAATCGCGCGGATGACAGTTTGAGATGGCGGCGAAAAAAACACACAAAGGTCTACTAATTACGACATTTAAGAAATGGGAATGCCAGTCTGATTTTTCGTAAGAATCGTCCGAAGGGCGGATCACTAAACTCACCTGTGACGTATGCACAGAACACGAGCGCGAGATACGACGAGAGGCACGATTACGAGGCAAGTTGGTCATTAGAGCTATAGGCTAATCGCGATGAAAATTATTGTAAAACAATATTGGTTATTGTATAATTTACTGGTTGTAGCATGGTAACTTTCGGAATATAACATTCGTCACGAGGCGTAGTAATGCTAATGTTAACTGTTGGTAGAACTAACGATGACGTGTGTTAGATTCTTTCATCAAATTGATAATAGATTACACATGCATCGTCTTGGGAAGAGGATGTCAAGCCACCCACATCAATACTTACCAGTAAATTAATTTTTGCAGTGTGAGATTGGAGAAAATACTCTGATTTTGTGATATGCTGTATTCATGATGCCATATGACTACACCATATTTTGATCCATTTATTTTTTTGAATAAATCTGGAGTACACAGCTGATGATGTAATGTTCATTGTTAATGCATAGTTTTCAAACGTTTACCCTTGAAACTTTATACTTTTGAGTTTCAGAATTCTTGATTATGGATATCAGTCAAAATAGAAAAATGGGTTCCCATGATGAACGTTTACGGAACCCAAAATTAGTTACCGT